ACCTCTGTCATCATTTTAAGTGGGGGAACTTGCACAATCGGTGGCTGACTAAATACTTTTTTGCCCCACTGTGTGTGTGTGTGTGTATATATATATATATATATATATGCATGCCACAAATTGATTTAATGGAAACCAACGTTTCCATTAATCACAGGTCAATTTCTGTAATATTGATCTGGTCAAGTACCAGAGGATGGTGTTGATCAAGTTCAGCTGCTTTGGTGTTCATGACAATAACAACAGGTGCACTGCAGGGCCAACAATGACACAACGGCCATAACAGGGATGGAAACTAAAAAAATTTCCCTCCACATCTTTTCTGACTGTTTGCACTAATTTTGCGTTTGGCAAAGGTCAGTGTCATTATTTGTAGCATGAGGTGACACCTAGACTCTACAGAGGTTGCACAGGTAGTCCAGTCACTCCTGGATGACACATCAATATGTGCCATTGCCTGAAGCTTTGATGAGTCCCTCAAGAGCATGTAAGAGAAGACATATGTTTTTCCCACATAGAGATCTGACATATATTTAAAGTTTTTCTTTCATTTCTTGGACCACTGTCTTTCTGTAACTTTTAATGGATCAAACACAAAAATGAAAGACCTACGAACAAGCAGAAACTAAAGCGGGTAACAGAATCTTTAGCTTCCTCAAAAATTGCCTCATTGTTCAAAAAGGTATGGACCTAACTGCATAAGAAACCCCAGTATGCAACACAGAGCTTGTCTTTACTATACATTTATACAACTTATGGTGAAAGTAATGAACTGCGCAAACAGCAACGTTTTACATATATATTTATTGAACAGTTAGGGCTACAACAGTTACTCAGCATTGATGTGAATATGCAAAGACTGAAGAACGCAGCAGTCTGAAGTAAACATGGTACTAATGCTGAGCCCATAGCAGACCTACAGTTAGTATAGTGATATCTACTGTTAGGGTTAATGTGCTTCTAATCTACTCTGGAACAGTACTATATAAATGAGGTAAGGCACTGGATGCTACAAGCTAAATCATAGAAACTATAAAGTTGAAAGTAAATCAGTAGTAAAACAGTCCAAAAATCTTTGATCTCCAAGTAAATAAAAGTGAAAATCATCAAAAATCGCACTCTTTGGACTTCAGGTTTAAAAGTAGTTGATAGAGTTCAGAATGAATGTGGGGCCCCTTCTAGATTTTTTTTTGTGTGTGTTGTAGGAAAACACATTGATGGAAAATATTGAGGATTAACTCGTGAGCCGACTGTGCTGGAATGCAGCAATTTCTTCGTAACGTGAAACAGGATGGCTCTTCTCAAACAGCTTTGGGTAAAAATATGCTGGAAAAATTAAAGCATGTAAACCTGCTTCAGCAGAATCATATAATAAAATGATAATGCTAAAAATGAGCCTAATGGGAGCCTCCTTAAATCTGCTGCATGCATAGTGTTGTGTATAGCTTTCAGTACAGGAAGTGTTGGACGGCAGAGACGGATGTTTCAGCCTCGCAAACGACACACCTGAAAATAAAAACTCTTTCTAATGAGCGCGCCGTTGAGTGTGCGCCAACCTGTTGATCGTGTGTTTTTAATTGTTGTGCTAGGGCTTTGGTTTCTGTTTGCGAAGTTGTAATGGCACAGCTGGGGATGTTTAACTTTGCACCTTTATGGCATCTTGTCGTCACTCCGAGCTGCCGTTTGCCCACTCTCAGTTGTGAGCAAGTGGTTGTGATGCAGAAAGAGGATTGCATCCAAACTTTCTGGAGGAATATTTGATCTCTTTCTATACGTGGCTCCTCCTCCTTCCTCCACAAAGTTCTGCGCGCCGTTTCCCACCACCGCGGGGGCAGCCAGGTAGGCCCGTGCCACTGTGGCCAGCAGTGGGAACTGCACCGTCTTCGTCCTCCACCACTGCAGGGGCTCCACGCCCAACGAGGCCCCTTTGTCAGCTCTGAAGACAGACATCTCCATATCGATAGACTCCTCCACAGAGCTCTGTCTGCTCCTGGGGGCGGAGCAGAACAGGTCTCCCAGCAGAAACTCCATACCTGACAGCCCACCCTGAGAGCCCGGGTCTCCTGGCTCGCTGTCCTCCACGTCGCTCTCATCATCTTCATCGAAAAGCTCTCTGAAGTTGATGGGGCGGGACTCTTTGAGGCGTTTACTCCTGCGCAAGAAGTCGCTCTCTGACTCTGGTGACCCGGGGGAGGGGCTTCTCTTCCTCTCGCTGTTCTTCTTACCTCGACTCCGCTTCTTGTCCTCCTTTGCAATCCTCACAGCCTCTTTCTTCAGCCAATCAAAAGTCTCCGTCCGGTCCTAGAAAACACAAGAAACCACAAATAAAAAAAAAAAAACAAGAATGTAAACCTCTCTGTCGTATCAGAAACTTAACATCATAATGTGAAAATGTGTTGTGTTAGAGATAAACCGTGACTCCACCCTGAAACCCTCTAGCTATCCAACTCCAAATCCAAAGAAGTGAAAGACCTTTGTGTGGACAGATTTGTTTGCTTCCACTTTTTTTATTTTATCTTTAACTTTTTGGTAAATCCTGTTTATTAAAGTCAATTTAATAATAAAAGGAAAACATGTTAGACATAAAAACAAATTGGAAGTTGGCAGTTGATACACTGCTATACAGCGTGCCTGCTAAATGTCTCATTGAATATCAAAATTAGCCATCTTGATTTGATTTGTAGAGAGTGCTATAGCTGTTTTAAGGCACTCTTTTCCCTCCGTGCCAGCTTTCCGACTCACCTTCTCCTCCATGAAGCCCAGTCCGTGGAACTGGGGGTCGAGGGAGCACGCCACGCTCAGGACTCTGTTCACAGCAGGGCTGTCATAACAGTGTGCCAGGCTCCGCCTCATCATCCTCTTTACCTCCTTCAAGATGGACGACGAATCGCACGGCCGGGACACGAGGTGCCGTGAGAGCAAGCCGGTGAGGATAGGTTTGATGAGGGACAGTCGGGGGAACGCCTCCTTGGCGAGAGTCCGGCACGCCACGTCCAGAGGTTTGAGGACCGAGCAGAGCTCCTCCAGAACCTTCCATTCAGAGCGCAAAGACGTTACACCTGTAGAGGATGTGTTGGAGGTGGAATTGGCGTGGGAGCTGCCACTTGAACTGGACTCTGAAGCGCAATCTTCTTTGGACAAACCCTCGCCTTTTATTTCTTTAATTACACAGCAAAAGAGGCTTTTGTGTCTGATGAGCATGCTCAGTAAAGTGTAAAGGTTATTCCAGGTTGGCAGGCTGTGTGCCCACGACGCAAGTCTGGCATGCTCCTGTTTCGTCAGACTTTTGAGGAGGTTCTGGGTATGAGGCTGGTATGAGCATTTGTTCTGAGCAACTGGTAAGAACAGGGTGGAGAGAAAACCCTGGAACTGGCTGAGAGTTTTGGAGATGACGGGATGTGACATCACTTCCTCCACACAGTCTTGCACGGCTCTGAAAAAACAAGGAACAGACGGAAGTCCTTCACTACTGTCAGCGTGCTCCGGCTCCCCGGGCGACACAGAGTCTTCCCTCTCTAGGAACGTTGTTGAGTTCGGATGGGAGGCGCTTCCTGCAACCTCTGCCCCCTTCTTGCTCTTTACTGGCTGTGTCCTCATCTTGTTCCTTATCTCACCTCCCAGCAACATCAGATTAGGCTGGGAGATTCCCCACTCGTGCGCCATCACCTTCACCTGGGCCTCCACCGTTCGGACGGCGTGCTCTTCCCCCCCGCTCTCTGTCAGCCGCTGGGTCGCCAAAGCAATGTTCTGAAAGCTAAAGCTACTGTCTACGTAGTGCGCCCAGAGCGTGAGGTACCTCTCAGTGTTTCCCTGCCAGTTGTGGAGCCAAACCTCTGCGCTCAATGTCACAAAGTAAGGAACTTCCTTCTGACTGCTGGAAGCTCGCCCACGTCTCCTGTGCTCGAACTCAATGGGAGCAGTGTAGTCCTTAACCTCCTCGCTCTCTCCGCTCTCACTTTTCCTCCTGAGCAGCCGAGCCAGGCTCGCCTTGCCTCGGGCGTGGTGGTCCGTCAGCAGACTCTCGAGCTGACAGGACAACGGCAGCTCCTTGTAATTAGGCAGCAATGTGAGAATCAGCTTTCTGAAGCCTTCGCCTTCCACAAGAGATGGCGGCTGGAGGTCCACGATAAGAAAGTTGGCGATAGCATCGGTCACTTGAGTGGACAGAACCAAGGGGAGAGTGCTGATGAGACCGCTGGTAAGTGTGAGCGGCTGAGAGCGTTGTTGACCTGTTTTTGTGAAAAAGCAGCTTTTAAATAGGAAATTAAAACAGAATTAAATTCCTTTCTGTTCTATAACAAACAAGAGTTAAGTAACTGAAACTGCATATTTGATAAAAGCAACAGTTTTCTAACTCACAGATTTTGCACAATAACAAAATACGTTGAGGAAAATAATCTTTTCTATGAATCCCACTGATTTAGGTGGGATCAAGTCAAAGTGTGGTCAAAATACAATCCCTACAAAATAGATAAGGACATAATTTAATGCACCCATTCATCTGTCCAAGATGATGAATCCCCATAACTAAATACTTTAATAACTTTGGGACATTTATTAATGAAATTTCCCCCAGAGATTCTGCATCACTTACTCTTTCTTTTAACCTAATAACTTCTGGCACTGTGCATTGCAAACAGGAAGTAGAGAGTTACCCAGTGTGAGACTCCGGTCCTTGTCTTTCAGCTTGAAGTGGTGTTTGTTGGTCAGGTGGTTTTGGAGATCTGGCACTCCTCCCGCACAGCTCACGTGCTCCATGCACAGCTTGCACACAGCCGTGTTTCGGTCCAGAGGCCGACCGGTGGGGTCGGGCTCGAGTCCAAAGAAGTACCACGGGCTGTTCTGGATGGCGTTGGGGTTGCTCAGCAGTTTCTCAGTTCCAGGCAGAAAATCATACTTTTCTATCGTGTGAGGAGACGGGAAGGAGATGACAGAGGTGGAGACGAAGGAGGAGCCAGTGATCATGCTGCCTGGGTCGCTGACGGCGTCTGAGTTCGACATCGTCGTCACGTCGCTTATGACAGGCATGGGGCTCTGTGATTGGCTGTGATCTGACCAAAAGGAAGTGCTGCTCGGCTCCGGGAGGGTGACCAACTGAATGTCCTGCAGGAGGCGCAGAGCCGTCTCCTTGTCTCCAACTTCACATTTCACGTTGTCACCTGTACATCACCGACAAAGACAAATGTATCAGGCACCCTTACAGAGCTACCTTTCAGTCTGTACTGCATTAAAAACTGGGATAGAGCTCACCCATCCCCAGACCCAGAAGGGTGGCATAATCCTTGCCGATCCAGACCCGGAGCTCTGCTCCCTCTGAGATGGGCTGGGAAACCCTGTAGTAGATACGACGGTAAAACTGGAAAACGTCCAGGTTGTGCTCTTCCTCGCTGCTGGTATATCTGACATACCTGAAACACATAACAAATGCGTGAAGTCTGCAACTACATCAGAAGATAAAAAGAAGCAAAAGGAACCATAAAAACTGCCCACCTCATCCAGTTAGATTTGTTTTCATCAGAAGCGTCCACGTAGATAAAAGCAGCATCGTCTCTGATCTAAAAACACAAAAAGCCCATCTTTGTGTTAACATATGGCCAATAGGAAACAACCCAAAGATTAAACTTTTAAAGCACAAAAAGGGATTCTTTACACACAGCTTTTGTCATTGTTGTTGGGTTTCTTCCCAGTCATTCTGCTAGAAGAACAACTTCTATCAAAATAAAATTATATCTTGTAATTCTTTATTTAAAGACAACAAAATATTTGCTTTATTTAAAGCAAAATACTTTGCTTTCCCTCTCAGTTTTCAGACTGCAACAGACTGATATGGGGTCCAATTCGCTGATCAATTTCCCATTTTACTTCCCGTTATGTAATTTACAGAAACCATTGTTGATTAAGAGCTGAGGCTATGCTGGAATCTGTCCATACGGCCTCTTAAATCAACACGGCTTATAATTTATAACAAAAAAACTAAACATCCAAAAACTGTCTACACGATGCTGTATGAACAAAAGTGATCGTTCATTTTACTCACAGCCCAGGCATATTTGAGGTTGGCCGGCATCTGTCCCTTGCACACCTCTCCTACAAAGGGTCCAAACATGACACCCTGCTGAAGGTGGCACTTGGCGTACACCTTCATCTCCCCATTCTGCTCCTCGCCCAAAGATCCAGAAGCAGATAGTCCAGACCCGAGGTCCCCACAGAGGCACAGGCAGGAAGGCAGAGACAGCGCCGCCCGGGAGGGGCCGCTGTGGAGCCACGGGTCTCCGGGCGGCAACACCGCATCTGGGACATAGTTCTGGTTGGAAGTAGGCTGGAGCGAGGGAACATCCTCAAAGAACTCTTCATTGTTGAGATCCAAACCTGGAAAAATAATATAATAGAGAAATAATGAAACAACAGAGATATTACTGAAAATTCAGGGTTGGGATTCATCTTCACGGAGCATACTTCCACTTTCTTGGGTCGTTTTAAGCAACAGAATTGAGAAAGACAGGAAGCTGCTGTATTCAGATGAGGGGAATAATACAATACAGACAAACTTTAATGTCTGTATTACAGCCAACCACCAGTGCTAGCCCGCCGTCTCCTAGCAGATGCACATATGATATGTTTATTGTACAAATTTGAAAAGAAAAGATGATTTTCAGAAACGTTGACCTCTGACCTTCAAGTCAAAGTCGCTGGGATTTGAACTCGATATTTAATAGATGCACCCATGGTACCAATTTGAAAGTTTTACATTGCCTCATTCTCGAGTTATCGTATTGACAAACTTGCGTGTCCACACCACCCGCCCGCCGGGGTGACAGCAACGCTCCCAGCCACCAGGAAGAACACCAGTCACCATTAAATCTGTGTTCAGTGAAGTGAGATCTTACCAATAATTTTGCAGATCAGGTCTACAAGTGCCTGATGGCTTTTATTTAATCTTTCCCCCTCCTTTTAATCACTTTTCATTTTGTTCTCTTTATTTGGATTTGATGATCTTCAGTCAGATCACACTGAGTGTTTTTTTGTCTTGTCTTTTCCCACCAGCCCATCCTGAAGCCTGCAGAGTGAAATAAGCCTGTAAAGGCACTAAAAAAGAAATGCTGTCACTGGTGGCTCTTGTAGCATCAGGGTCAATCATAACAGAAGCTTTAAGTTTAACTTTCGAGGTGGTGTCTACTCAAACTATCATCACTGAAATAATGAAGCCACTGCACCGCTGCTGCAAAGACAGTGTGCTCACATGGACTTCTGACAGCAGTACCCACTTGTCAGGCCCTGCTGGGCTGTCTGAATCGCTCTGTGGTAATATCACGCTCTGCTGCTTACGGCTGCAGAGGAATGGGGTCAGGTGACTTAATAAAATTGTACTTGAGTGATTCCCCAAACCTCGGCGTATCTGTGCACGCTGTGAGCCCGGGGCCACGCAGATGGTGGACAGTGCGACTGCTGTGATCGATTCTGGCTCGCATGATTGATGTTCACACATGTAGGCCAACACTGAGCCCATATAATTAAGTCCTGCAGGGAGAGTCTAGCCATAACCTCTGAGCTGATTAACTCTGAGACGGGATGCTCAGAGTTTCCAGTTGCACAACAGCTGATCGCAGTTCAATACACTCTGTGCGTGCTCACCCTGAGTTATGAAAGAAAGCCATCATCAATTGGTAAAGCAACAAGAAAATGAAGAACAGAGCCTCCATTTTAATCTGACAGAGCAAGGACTACGAACAGGACCAGGACAGTTATCTTCAAAAACATGAGAGGTGAAGAGACTCCTTTTAGTCAGTGTTATCCAATAAGTTGTCTTTTACCTAGATCGTTTTTTTTTAAATAGATAAAACTGACAGGGGCAAAATACAGGTAAAGCTGAAGATAACATGTGGATCAAACCGATCTGACACAGTTTAGTCATGCACCTCCAAAGCACTCTGCAACAGTCTTGAGCCAACAGTTTTTATATTGTGCTTCAAAGGAGGCAGATTGTGTAGTGAGTTACACATTCATCTATCAAGCAAGAGATCCCTGGTTTGAGCACAGGTGGAGACACAAATCCCTCTGGGGTTGCATCTGGCATCAAAATCTGCAAACTCGAATACCCAGAGCTACATGCTGTGTCAGTAAGAGGGCAGCTGAAAGAAAAAGGTCTGATGAAGTGATGAAACCAAGTTATAAAATATTTGGATCAAATGTTTTCCAATATGTACAAAGGAGGTAAACAAGGGTATACAGGCATCTGTAAAACACAGTGGAGGCTCTATCATGGCTTGGGGCTGCATTTCACCCAGTGATGTCATTAAAGTACCATTGGATTTTGATCCATCATGCAATACCATCTAAAAATCATCTGATTGCCATGCTGAAAAATAAAGCTGCTGTCAGTGATTCCCAAACAAAGTGCTGTAAAAGTATATCTGGATAGAAAAGAACATAGTGGAACACCTCACCAGAGCCTGAACCTTAACATTACTGAAACAGTGAGAGAGGGGTCTATTTGTATTAGTATTTTTTCCTCATATGGGAGGGTTTTGTTTTGTTTTTAGAGGGGGCGGCTTAACACCTTTTAGAAAAATTGCTTGTGGGCAGTGGGAGTTACACGGAACACAAACCCAGTCTTTCTCAATGTGCATGAAACAGTGGTTATGGATACAAGCGGTTTATACCATGGCATCAACTGCGCATGTGTGACTGGATAGCTATTCGTCACTTATTGCAGGACTTCCTGATGTAAAACACACCGCTGTGCATAGAGTATGGTACGGTTTATTCGGCGCGTACGGTATAAAAAAAATGCGTATTACCTGAGCCAAGTATCTTCCGGTTGATGATCGATCTGTTGTTTAGAAAAGCTACCAGATTGTGAGTGTGCACAGGCGCAGTACTAAACACACCCGGTCTGCAAGTTAACTGTAAAAAAGCTGCATAGTAAAGCAGCGTCGGGGCTCAGGGACTATTTTTTTGTCACAGCACTAAAATGCAACTTTCAAGCAACCCCAGGTGAGCCATGTGAGCAGCCATGTCTGATCGGCTTTGCTGGGCTGGAGGCATGCAGGGTTCAGACATGTGAGAAAATAAGTTAATGCACACTTTAAAATTCCACAAGTTTTCAATGAAGAAATTATTTTAGGTTAAAAAAAAATCACCTTGAGTGTCAAGTAAAGCTCCCGAGGTCGCGGAGGAAGTGGTCTCAAAGAAATCAGCACGATGTCGCCTTTTCAGGTGGCTTCTTAAATTAGTAGTGTTTCCACCTTTTGCCAGCACTATTTTTCGGCACAGGCGACAAACGGCCTCACCGGTGTTCAAAGGTCGCCCCTTTTCATCCGCCTTTAAGCCAAAATACAGCCACACGATGGACTTGCTTCTGGGTTTACTGATAAGATCCATGTTTCTGTAGCTCTGCAGCCTGCAGCCCCGCTACCAGATCTGCGATGCATAGACAGGAAAACTACACCACCTGATTACATGCAACGCTCTTGTACCGCACAGATTCAGGTCAATGACGGCGAAAACCTTCTTTCTAAAAGTAAAAGCAGCAGATACCAATCAATATCTTAAAAGTTCCTGACTGCAGGCATGTGTACGACACGTGTTTTTAATAAATCACTTCCCTTCAAAGATGTGAAAAAAATCTCACAGCTCTCAGTTTGGTTTTAAAATGAGAAACCGGTCAAAGAGCGTCCACAGCTTTTGTTTAAACACACACAGAACTGCAGCCAGTGGGACCGCATGGCCTTCTACCTGCTCTATTTCTGGGCTTTTTACGTCTTTCTCTGTAGACTGACGACAGCACACTGCGACGGCCGAGTGTTGCCACATCTTGTTCTCAATACGCCGGCAAAAAACACCGACTGCCTATAAAGATAAACACAGTCTCCACAAACCTCGGAAAAGGTTAAGGAGGAAAACAGTTATCAAAGCCAGCGTAAAGGTAAAATTGTGTGTGTGTGTGTGTGTGTGTGTGTGTGTGTGTGTGTGTGTGTAAAGCGGGCAGCTGCAAAAGGGTACCAAAAACCCAGTCCTGAGGACCAGTGCTGCAGACATGGGCTGTGCTTGACCTGATGCTGTCCTACTACAGGATTTTTTTTATTTTTTTACCTGATATTGCCATTGCATGCTACAAATTATCAAATGATTGTCACACATAAAAAAAGAACTATCCATGTAATTTTATTTCATGTATTATGTTAGTACTTGTTAGATTCTGGAGCTTCTGATAAAAGGTAGACGTTTTATTTATATAGTGCCACAACAACAACAACAACAGTTGCCTCGTATGGTTAAGACCCTATAATAATACAGAGAAACCCCAACAATCAGATGACCACCTATGAGCAAGCACTTTGGCGACAGTAGGTAGGAAAAACTCCCTTTCAACAGGAAGAAACGTCCAGCAGAACCAGGCTCAGGGAGGGCCAGTCATCTGGTTGGGGCTGAGGGGAGGGAGACAGCACAAAAAAACGTGCTTTGGAAGAGAGTCAGAGATCAATAATAACTCATAATTATGTGCAGAGTGGTGTATAAACACACGGTGAGAGTAAAAGATTTTTTTAATGGTTTGTGCAGACGAGAAAAAAGCTGAAATATGCACAAAGTTTACATAGAAAAAAAAGTTTTTCGCAAGATATTTCCTCTCACGCTATATTATGATGATGATGATGGTAGGAAGCACCATCACCTTGGTTCAAAATCGGCTATAAAGTGCTCAGCTAGGGTGAGATCTGGCGAAAGCTGCAGCATATTATTGACGGGTTGAAATAAAAACTGTTGTAGCTCACCAATGCCTTTATTGAAACCAGCTTTCTCTTGATTGGCTGATTTGAAAGCGGGTGGGTGGGGTTTCCTGACATGACCGTATTGGGAATATTGACTGTCCTTGTCATCACACAGAGCTGGGAATAGAAAAACCCACAAAAACCAAGCACTTTGACAGGTTTGAAGCCTTGTGGATTACAAGGGTCAGCTACACTTTTTTTTAATATGAATACCCATCATGACAACAGATCTATTTATCATCCATCCATCTATTTTCTTCCTCTCTCTCGCTCTGTGTGTGTGTGTTAGGCCCCATTAGGCATTTAATATTACTCGGGCTAAATGAGAGGCAGCAGAAACCCTACGTGAAACCGTAAAATCTGGCAACCCAGGCAGCTGTGGCCGGCCTCCCTGCCTGCGTTGGATGTTAGCTGTGGTCCTTCTGACTGAACCCAAACATCACCCCCAAATCGGGTACGCCAGGTAGGTAAGCACCATACCCCACTGCTGACAGTTGTAGCGTTTAAATTTTGGGACCGGGGGCACACAGTATTTTTTCTATTCACGTTTCAAACACTGACTTCGCCAAACTTGCTTTGTTTTCCTGGGGCTATTTTCTGGCGGTTAGCACTTGGCTGATAGGTAGCTTCGAGCGTGCTGACGTCACCGGGTTGCCGTAGAGCTAGTAGCGATGGGGACACCGTTGCCCTGGCGACAGCGCTCATAAGTTATCGGCGATTGCTAGCTGCTGTATGAACTTTAACGCTGCAGAAAAGGCTTCAGGTGAAGGCTTTACTTAATAAAATGAATCAAACAAATATCGTGGGTTAAATAGCTTAGGATTTTGGACTGACTCCACCAGCCTTTTTTTTTTTTTTTAAACAAGTAGCAGACAGGGGGGTAGCTGTTACCCCGACGACAGCACACACAAGTCATCCGTGCCAGCGAGCATCTGTTTGAAACGCTCCGTACACGGCTCGGAGTGCCGCTAACACGCTCCAAAACGTAGTCACATATGGCTTCTTCACTGGTGCCCGACTTTTCATCGGTTATGGTGGTTCTGGAGCGTTTAAAGGAGCTGGACGAATGCCTGAAAGAGGAGGAGGTACCGTTCGCACCTGAGGCCAGCCTCCACCTGATGGAGATAACGACTGCTGTCAGCGAGCTGGAGGCAGACAGGCGTGCTGCTCGTGAACACTTGGAAGTGGAAAGCATAGAAAACAGCAAACTGAGACACCAGATCAGCAACATGCGTGAACGAATGAGCAAGGAGATCATGGCTGATGTAGCAGCGGCGCGAGCATCAAATGCCGAGGAGATCCAGCAACTGTGCAAAGATCTCAGTGCAGTCTCTCAGCTCCAAGAAGAAGCTACGAAAATGCAGGAATCCCTTCTCAGCCAAAACAAGTCCCTGTACCTGGAGCGGGATCAGGCGAAGGCTTACCATGATACCATCATGGCTACTCTGAATGATCTACTTGCCCTAAAGTACAGCTCACAGATGCAGCTGAACAAGACGTGGGAGAATATAGAGGAGCTGAAGTCCTGCATTGCTGGCGTCGAGCAGGACAGATTAACCCTGGAGCAGAACATGAAGCTGGAGAGACAAGCCTCCTCCGTGAAAAGAAATGACCTCTTGGAAGAGGTGAGCAACGTTGAGGAGCAGACAGAGCAGCAAAACCACCTGAACAGGAGTAGCAGAAGAGAGCTGGATAGCATTACCAATAAGAAAGACAAAGCCCAGGGACGGCTGGATGAGCTGATGGATGAGTTGGGTAAGGTCGAGAACAACATACACAGACTGAATGTGTCACGGCACCATCATGAGGAGCAGCTGGAACGGGAAGTCCAAAAGCAACGGGAGCTGAGGCAACAGAGGGATCTGCTGAAGGAGGAACTGCATGAGTTGGAGGAAGCCTTCAGCCTCACTGTGCAGAACTTGCAAGAGGAAATCGTCACAATGGACAGTAAAATAAAGGAGGGCAGAGCATCAAAACAGCATTTAGAGGCAGCCCTGACTCAGGTCTGTGAGGTGTTCAAGCATCGGCACACTAAAGAGAACTTGGTCAGGGCTGAGCATCAGCAGGTCTCCAAGCAGCTGGAGTGGTCCAGGCTGCAACTGGAGGAGCGTATTGCCTCCATCATAAAGCATGGCAGGGAGATCAAAGAGATGGAGAAGCAGGTCAAAGAGCTCAAGGAAACTGATGTAATTAACAAGCGTCTCGTTGAGAGGAATCAGGAAGAGCTACGCAGCAATATGGATGCAGGAGAAAAGAATGTGGGCTGGCTTCAGGAGGAGAAAGAGCGACTCCTGCAGCTCCTGAAGGAGGCAAAGAGGAAACAGGAGGAGCATATTGAGAAAATGACATCTGACATCAGTAGTACCCAGAGAAGATATGAGGAGCTGCTTCAAAAAAAAGAAGCGCTCCTGAGGCAGGAGCCCAAGACCACTGATGCCAGCCTCCTGATGAGGCATGTGACCCGGTCCAAGGAGGAGTACGAAAGAATCGAGAGCCGGCAGCACCAGGAGTTACAGCAGCTCACCACTGACGTCGACAAGGTTGCTCAGAGTGTTAAGGAGAAGCAGAGGGAGGTGGAGGAGAAGGAAAAGATTCTGAAGAAGGTGGAGGCCGAGTGGAGCGATGAGCAGAACAGGCACCACAGGCTGGAAGAGCTTCTCAATGAGCTGAGGAAGAGGAGGAGTGAGCTGGAGCTTTCAATTCAGGCACTGAAGGAGAAAACCAGTGAACTCCTTCAGCCCAAAGAGGAAATGAAGGCTGAGCTGGAGGGGCTGCAAACGTGCCACATCAACACGCTCCACAGACAGGCATCTGAGCTGAGAGCCGTGGAGGTGGGCATCTACGACTGTGGTGTGAAACTGGAGCAAGTCACCATGGAGAACAGCAGGCTGCAGTTCCATATCAGTCAGATGACGGAGGACATCGAAACAGCCAAACTGGAGACGCACAAATACTGGCAGGAGGCTCAGAAGTTCAGGCAAGACACAGAGGCATTATGGGAAAGCTTACAGCAAGCCTGGGCGGAGGATTTAATGTTAACCCAGGACCACGAGAGCAGTGAAGGCGTCCTGTTCATGTCGATTAGTTCTCTGCTTGACCATCTGAAGAATCGGAAACAGCAGTTAGGAAACATTAGCACGCTCCTTCACCAACAAATGCTCGACTTCAGCAAACGACTGGGAGACAAGACCACAGCGAAACTATGCAGCTGACTTTATCCAGGATGACAAGTGGACTGACTTCAGGATGTCAGCCTGCTGTCTGTGCACAGGCAACGTTTGAGCCTGATATTAACCTGTAATGTGGACAAAAAAAAGTTTGGTATAAGATGAAGATAATTTGAAATACTTTTTTGGTGTGGTTGGTTCACTTTGTTTCTTGACACAATTATCTGAAAAATGTTACCAGAGGTGGTGCTCGGTCCAATTTAAAACTGAACTTATGGAGTTGATGAATTTTTGAAAGTAGTTTTTGTTTGCGAGATGGGCATAATTGCACTTCTCATGCACTTTCACAAATACAAATCATTTCCTGTGTGACTCCTACCAGCAGATGGCAGAATAGATCTGGCTTTTCCTCAGCGTGACCTTTCCCCGCAGTTACAGGGTCAAACACACACCCACTTGTACTTCCTCTCAACAAAAACATGCACACACATGTATCCAGAGGCACGTACTCAGAGGACTAAATACTGGTTTACTAAGACGGAACGAAAAACAAGGCTGCAGCTGCCAAAAAGTCAGTTTTAAGAGGAAGTCATCATTTTATTCCAGTGAAGAAGGTAAGTCTCCAAAAAGCCCAGAAGTAAACTTTACTTTGACCTAAGGTATCTGTAGCTTTGTGCTTTGGCTGGACCTTCGTTTATATTTAGACAGTTTTGTTCATGTTTTTAATATCTTTGTCTCTAAATATATCTGCTTATCTCGTGTTCAGGATTCTGTGTGTGGTGTATCTGATACCACAATACAAGCTGTTCTTTTCTGAGATATTGCTTCACAAACGGTACATTTCATCACTACCTCAAACTGTTGTTGTCAAAAGTAAATCCTTTTTTTAACGATTGGCTTCAGCTGAAGGACACACACGGCTCAAATGTAATGTTATCAGTCATAACAAGATGTACAAAGACACAAATGCTGATGTTCTCATCTTACATTTAAGATATTTTATCGATACTAAGGCAGGAGTGCTGAATCCAGTTTCACTAAAGGCCGTGTTTGTTAACATGTTTAAATACATGTTGTACCTTTCTCAATGTAATTTGGTCCACATTAAACTTCGTTTAACCAAAAGGATTAAGAAAAGAAAACCAGGGTAACTGACAGGGAGCTTCCAACAGCTCAAAGGATGATCCTGAATTTGACAGACATTCATAGTTTTGCATCCTGATGTAAGAGCAAAGTCAGAAATCTCTGGTTTTGCTCTTACCCAGCCTCTTTCATAGCCCAGAACATGCCAGCTCAGTAGTTGGAAAACAGAGCAAGCTAATAAGAGATCTCTGGTCACGTAGTTTCCCCGTAACTCACAGCCGAGCCTTCTGCCAAAAAAAACACTGCAACTCTGAGAATGGAGTCTAGGAAACGCTGTGCTGCAGCTAAACGTCTCACCTCAATTCAACAAATGGCCAAAGTCTCAATTTCCTGCCTGAACATCTAAATGTTGACACAATTGACCCAAATGTAAACAAAAAATGTTTCCGGGCTGTGACCACACGGCTCACTAAAGGCCCTCATTCCACCTCCATGCAATCTGTTTGTGACAGTTTGACCATAAACCTGCACATGAGCAAGCTGGAGGTTGTTTTGCAGGCCTCTGGGAATTCTCTTCCTCCGTCTTCTCATCCCTCTGCTGGGCTGAAGCCCTGCTAAGCTATTGTCCAACTCTCCTTGTGTTACTGCCCGTCTCTTGGCCTCTCCTGTGCTGAGAGACTCTGCAAGCCTGGTTGTGATGGCATGTGTGGATGTGCCATACCAGGGGACCTCCGATCCATTCAGACTACCTGTGTAACCTGAATGGATCGGAGGTACCGTTTCATGCTATCAGGAAGTGAAGAGGACAGGGCTGAGGAGAGAGTGATGGTCTGTGGTCACCAGCTGAACCACTCCCTACAGTAATTGGGGTTGTCTCGGTGTCTCTCCAGCACCTGTTGTACTTTGTGAATCCAAAACAATGGCTCATGTTCCCTAACCTCTGGATATATCCATGAAATTTAAACTGACTTTGTGTTGATTTTTCTTTTTTCTAGAAAACTATAGTTTTCTAGATAATGCAATTTAAAAATGGCCCCTCATGAAATGATACTAGAAAAATGTATAAAAATACCCATGAGAGAAAGCTTAAAGCGTAGTTCAGAGTGGCTTAGTATAACACAGAGAGTTAAAAAGAGATAAAAATGTTTCTCAGCTGGATAGACGTTAAAGCCTGCAGCAAAGTTATGTCTACAATGCAAACTGTCAAACTGAAACGTCAAGCAGCTGATCTGCATACAGACTGCTTTCATTTTAGCTTCTTTTTAAGACGCTCTTACCGTGTAAGACAAACTGCTGGTGGGTGCAGGCAGCTAAAAACATTCTTCTCATTATATTTAACTGACCGTGCATGTGGTTTTGATGAAGCACCTTTCTGTTATTTTAAGGTAAAAATAATGGGAAAAAACTATTTATTAGTGAGGGCCTGTCAGACACATCCTTCAGTGGAATCCCCATCACTGGCCCAGACAGATCTAACAAGTTTTTATTGGCCCCGGACCATCAGACTCTGTTATGTTGAACCTTTTAAATGTTTCCTAATTTAACTTAAAAGCAGCAGTGGCGCGTTCACATCACAAGATCACACACGTAGTTAAAGCTGTTTCAGCTCCTCTAAAAGGCGCAAACTCATAAAATCCCCCTCACAGAAATCTGACAAGGCAGCTGCCCTCAATATGGAAATGTCAATACACCACCAGAGGATCCAGTGACAACTCTCTGGCCCCTCCCTCCTGCCAACACTCGTGCACTTAGTCACAGTTACACAGATTTACTACAGGTCGTCTACAGGATGTGAGTCATCCTGACCACACAGCGGCGTGCACGTGAATGCTCAGTGATCTTGATGTTCGTGATTCTGCTACAGTTAAAAATGACTTCTTCTTTGTTAAAATCAGCTGTGATAAGCTTAAGGTATGGGTTGTGCATGGTCAGCGTGCAGGTATGAGTCATCCTCTAAAATTAGATGTTTTGTTGTTGTTGATAAACTACGACAAATGTGGTTTTGTGGGCTCACAGAGCATCTGATGTGGTGTAGACAGCTACCAACTCGGAAGAATTTCTACTAGAAAAGAAGCGTGATGATTTTAATGTGCACTGAGCTCCTGCTTCTATAAACAGCTGCTCTGTAACAATGCAGCAGCCACACAGTAGCAAAGATTCCACAGAAAAGTAACAGAGTGAATAAAATGTAGTTTGGAAAAATAACAAACAATAAATCTATTAAAAAAATCAATAAAAGATCTGTACATCCGGTGTTTACAATTTGCAAAGTACAGATGTTAGGTAACTATAGGTTACTATCCCTGCAAATCCACTTTCCACTTTTCACCTAATTGCCTTTAGATGTTGATATGTTCTTAATGCTTTTGCATAGAAATATAAAATATACACCTGGTGTTCTGCATTATAGTTATTACCATCATCTGCCTGCAGACTGGTCATTTTATTAGTTGCAGCTGCCTGATGCAGTCCGGTGCAGATGCACTGCCATAGGTGCAGCTTTTCTTTCTATGCATTTGGCAGGTTGGAAAAATACAGGCTGCCACATAAAAAGTATCTAGAGACATTATATAAAGCGAAAACATTTGAAACCAGATTTATGTACCGATAAAAGTTCAGCTGATGCAGGTGAACAGCAGCAAAAATAGATCTACTTTTACTATTGAATATCTAGATGAATGCACAATTACAATTTGCAAAGTAAAGGCATTAGGTAAAGGTAAGAAGTGGACCAAACCACTGTGAGGTAGATGAGGGGGAGTCTGTCTCTCAAAATTGAATGAGTTGCTTTCCATCTGTTATTTTAGCTGAAAACTTTCTCTGTAGGTAATGTTATTTAATATTATATCATTAAATACTTACAGTGATGCAAAAAGGTGAGCCAGAACTCCTTAATCCCCCTCCCCCCTTTTTCATTGGTGTGCCATTGCCAACCCCAGAGCTGCGCTTTTGCCCCAGCCCTGATCACTTGGTACCTTGCAGGGAGTGTCAGAAATATGTGGAGTATTTCTCTCTTTTCTTTTATAAACATATTAACAGTCCCAAGCCTGCAGCGTTGGAGCAAGTCTGGCAATGATGTCCTTTCTTCATTTTCTATGCTCACCATTCGTCCCGACAGAATAGTTTTAAACAGATATTGGTCTTCTTGCTGCACGCGTCCTTTAAGGTGACCCAAGTATAAGATCAGACGTGATCGTAGATATGAGAAATGAATACATGGAAAACAGAAAAGCAAAGTAAAAAAATAAACTGCGTTTCCACAAACATCTCGAGATACCCCACACTTTACATGCTCGAAAAGAAGTAGGATGAATTAATAATTTACAAATCAGAGTTCATTGATATATATAATTGTTTATTTGTAGTGCTACGAGAGACATTATATAAAGAATCGACCTGGCGCTCGGTGAACCAGTCAGTCGAAATCTCTGATAAATATCTGAAACACCGTGACGGCGGGTGTGTCGCCCTGCACTTAAACAGCCCAACAACAGAGAATTAATTGTAGAGGATCCATCGTGGTCAGGTCTGCGTAACGAATAGAATGTCTCTATTGTTACTGTAACATCCAAATAAGTGAACTCTCAACAGTGAAAAGATCACTTAACAGTCACTCCAGATTACTCCATTCTCTCAAATTGCACAAAGCACATTGAAATGGACATTGCAGCATTTAGTGCTTGTACAATAACCGCTCACACAGACAGAAAGCCCCTAGAAACAGCATAGAAAAAAGGAGCTTGTGTGAATGGGTGAATGAAACAAGTTGTGTAAAGCAGTCCATTTATAAGAACCAGTCTATTTACCAGATAAACCAGTGAATGTTATCTCGTGTAAGATCTGTAAATGCTTCAGCAGCCTGTTATTGTTTGTGCCAAAGTTGATTGACAGGTTGGAAAACTACAGCATGTGTGGAAAAAAACTGTCATAGCACTGCTGAATGGTTAATTATAGTCGTGTGTGTGTGTGCGTGCGCGCTGCTGTTACAACAGCCAAAATGAGGAAGTTGTTACCATACGTTCACACGCTGTGCTCTCACAGAGTGATTAGAAACTATTAACACAGTGTACTCGGGTGATAGGTGTTATGGTGTATCAGCGAGGATGAGTGCGGGTTATCGTGTTTTTGTGCGCCTCTATATTTAGTCGAGGGCCAAGTCTGACTAGAGTAAATCTGTCAGTCATATCAGCCACTCAACAGGTTTGCCCCGCGCTCTCTCTCTTTGACTTTGTCGCTCTCTCCCTCCTCTCTCTGTCTCTGTCTCTGTCTCTCTGTCTGGCACATGACCTCTAATGCTCCATATGGTCCGCTGACGTCTGCGCTTCATAATTCCTCTTCCTCTCTCTCTCTCTGAGGCTTTATATGTAACAGTGACAAGTCATAGTTATTTCCACACACAGACCGCACATCTGTCACTGTCTCCTGACACACTGCAGACGTTTAGCCTCCCGAGCGGACAGGCAGCACATCTGTTAGGTAGCATTAAAAAGAGCCATTAAGGACATTTAACTAAGGAGTACCGTGGACATTGCAGAGGAGCATAATGGAGACTCTGGGTAAGAAGAAACTTTTTCTTTTGGGTGTTTTGGTCGTCGGTAGCTGTTATTTTAGTCTCGCAAAGTCTTATTAGAGAGGATGGAGTTTTTGGACATGTGGTTTTTGCTACGTACAAAAAAAACTGTGGGGTTTAATTTAGTCAGCCTTGAAATAAATTTGTTTGTTTAAGCATATTTGGCACATTTCTGTTCAGTAAGTAAACACAGAGCCTTTGCTTTACGCTTCTATGTGAAAAGTTACGTGGTCACCACTCCAAGAAAAGGACCCTGGCCTTGCTGTGTGACTGAATTAAAGCATTATTGTTACATATTAATAAATAATATACTAATATCAATTTTAACAGAATGAAGATGCTTGTTTAAACGTGCTGCTGTTCTCCGTCTGTTTCACGCGAGACTGCACGGATCCTAAACATCCAGCTCCTTTTATAGTCACGTAGTTCTGGTCTCGGAGAGCTGAGAGGAAAAGTTGGGTGTCAGAATTTTTATGTCTGAGCAGAGGTCAATCTGATCACTGCAGCACGTTTTTTGTCCGATTTAAGGAACTTGGAGTGCGCGTTACAGAGAAGAGTGCATTACTTCGCCTGTTAATTCTCCCTGGAATGCTGAAGCATAACAGCTTTTTTTGCTTTGGTCTTGGTCAAAACATTTAGAGATGCAAGATTATTGCTTTTTGTGTTTAGTTTGTACCTCTTTCAGTGTCTCTCGGTACAACATCTGCCCAATCTGAACCACTTTGGTTTCTGAAGTTGTTGCAGATAGATGCTGTTACACACTCGTGGAGCAGGCGGTGTGGCACACTGATTTTTATCAGCAGGGTGTGGCTTCTGCTACCTGTAATTCATAACTAAAAGTTGTTTTCTGTGTTTAACATTTTTGGGGGGAAGCTTTTGTCACTTTTATACAAATTTTTGTCAACTTGGATATCTGCACTTCAACTTCTCTCCTCTGCTCTCTGTTTCACCGGTGAAACCCAAACAGCTCCTCTGAGAATCTGTCCCCAGCTCCACGTTTGTTTTCTTAGGTTTTCTGCGTGTGAAACACTGAGTCACTGCATTGACTGCTTGTTTTGCTCAAGCATAGAAACGTGCTAACAAGGTACAAAGCCTTCTTTGGAAGGGGTGTTTTACCCTGAGTTTGTTAGCTGACTGTTTAATCCAGCTCAGTCTCTGACACACACTGGGAAGCGCACGTGTTATTTTTAGGTTTAATGAGTTTGGTCACGTGTAAGCCGACAGATGCTGCTGAAGCAGAACAAAAGGCTGAGTTGCAGCTGTCACTTTGGGGGTTTGTTTCATCTGGACTGCTGACGCTGTGATGGCTTGGTCCTTACACGACAACCTGAGCTGAAGCTCAACAAACGCTGGGAAAGAACAGATTATTCTTTCCATAGAAGTACAGATGTGTGTGTTACCTTCAGTTTATACGTCATGTTAGAAAGGTGGATGTGTCTCCATCCTATCACATGCTTCACTGTCGCTTTGATTTTCCTCCTCACCAGTGTATCCGATGGGTGGAGGGGCCACGAAGCTGTACAACGCTCTGACTCAGCCCCTCAGCAGCACCAGCTCTCTTCTCCCCTTCCCTTCTTCACACCTGAACCCCCAGCTACCTGCATTCACAAAGCTGGATCCAGATTTCTGCCCGGTAGGTTGTCTTCTTTTTCTTTTGTCTTCAGACTTTTTATTTTGAATATTTTCATCTAAATATTAAGTGTTCTCTCTCCTTCTGTCGATGGAGCAGGAGGGGTCCTCTCCATGTCCCCCTGATCCAGAGGAGCTGCTTCGTCAGTGCGAGGAGGCCCTCACGGACCGACCACCTCGCTTCGACAGGAAATTTGTTCACATCGGTGATGGAGACGGCGCCCCCAGCAGTGTCATCAGGGTGATGCAATGGAACATCCTGGCTCAAGGTAGAGTGCACTCACTAAGATGGACTGTAGTTTAGGATCCGTCTCTCCATCACTCAGGGAAATTTAATATTCACACTTTCTGAGTCTGTTTTGGTGGAACACAAAACACATGGTGGATAATGTTGTTACTGAAGTCTGGTCTCCCACTTCCTTCTGTCCTGCAGCTCTGGGCGAAGGACTCGACAATTTTGTCATGTGTCCTTTGGAGGCCCTCAGCTGGTCCCGCAGGAAGTACCTCATCATGGAGGAAGTCCTCACCTACCGGCCCCACATCGTGTGCATGCAGGAAGTCGACCACTACTACGACACCTTGCAGCCGGTGCTGGCAGGTTTGGGTTACAGCAGCCACTTCTGCCCCAAGCCGTGGTCTCCGTGCCTGGGCGTTGAGGGCAACAACGGCCCCGACGGCTGCGCGCTGTTCTACGACGAGTCGCGCTTCGAGCTCCTCGACAGCGTCAACATACGACTCTCTGCCATGAGGATTCCAACCAATCAGGTGGGGAAAAAAATAAATTTTGTCAGGTGTAGTATTTCTGGAGCTTTAGCCTTTCTGGGAAAAATAAAACTACAACACTCTAACTCGCTGCTCTCTGATCGCAGGTTGCCATAGTGACCACGCTGCGCTGTCGGATCACGGGTAAATGCGTGTGCGTGGCCGTGACCCATCTGAAGGCTCGTTCTGGCTGGGAGTGGCTCCGCAGCACTCAGGGGTCAGACCTCCTTTGGCATCTCCAGAATGTGGTCCAGAAGCAGCCCGGCGACCCCGCCGCCGACATACCTTTGCTCATATGCGGGGATTTCAACGCAGTCCCAAATGAGGAGGTGTATCGGCGCTTCGCCACATCGCCTTTCGGCTTGGACTCGGCTTACAAGAAACTCAGCCGGGACGGTTTGACGGAGCCGGAGTACACGACGTGGAAGATTCGGCCCACGGGGGAGTGCTGCAGTACTCTGGACTACATCTGGTACACCAAGGACACGCTGAGAGTGGATGCCGTCTTGGACATGCCCACCGAGGAGGAGATCGGGCCAAACAGACTTCCGTCCTTTAGTTATCCGTCCGACCACCTCTCTCTGGTTTGTGACTTCAGCTTCAAGGAGGAGGAGTGGGAAGGAAACAACAAACCGGCACACCGGAAGTGATGACGCTGTGGAGTTGAGGTTAGCGCTTCCTCCTTCTCACTCTATTGTGTGACCAGGAGGTCACATGTGAGTGATAAAGACAGTGTGCCAAAACATGGCCAAGACTTTAATGGGACACAGTGTACCTCTGCAGCACGAGATATTCCAGCTGCAGGTGTGCTCTACCTGTCGTCAGACTGCACACACGTACTTTAAGAACTCTGTGCTTCATGCTGCTGATGCACTACAGGACAGACATGGTCTGAGTATCACACATATGAGGTGGAATCAGGTTTCTCACCTCTTAGCATCCTGCAGGCCACTCAGGGTAGAGTGTTTCCCACTCTGGATCTGTCACCAATGACCTGATGGATGTTAAGAGATTAAAATGATGAGTGAATTTTTCTATTTGTATTAAAAAATAAAAAAGGGCATGACACAGTCTGGAAATGCATCGGACATCGTCTGCTGTCTTCTTTTCTGGCGACAACACATATCTGTGCCAAGACCTTATGTTCATGCACCTTTTTTTTTTATTTTTTGAAATTTTGATGAATGCAGATAAATTAAAAACTAATAAAGATAAATGGTTGCTTGACAGTAGCCGATAGTTTTGTGACTTGATATTGGTTCCTTCTTAAGCTCTCCACACCACAGACAGTAGTAAAGAAGGGCGCAGCCACGGTGACGTCACACACTGACCCAGGAGCTGAGCGTCTTTGCTGTCGTCATTTTGGCGTTTGGTAACCGAATGTGACGAGCCTGCGTATAGCCCTCCATTCTGACTCACAAAATAGACTTAATGCTTTGTTCAGTATTAGTACATGGCCATTCTGCAGTATTGTGTGGTCTATGATCTTTAGTCATAGTCACCTTCGTATCTGATGTAGATGAGAACCTTTAGGGAACTACTGGAAACTGTGTGCCAGTTTTGGTTGCTTAGCTCATGATCACATAAGATGAACTGAAACTAGTAGCTTGTCAGCTGAGGGTGTGTTTTAAAAAAAAAACAACAATCATCTGATTTCACGGAGCTTTAGTTCCCACAGCTGTTCGCCGATAACGATCGAGCAGACAGCTGTTGTGTGTCCAGAGAGGCGCACTGTTGAGGATTGGTGAACATCGTACTTTTTGTATGTAAAACTTACTATTCAGCCATTCATTTTAATATTTACCACAACTTTCCATGTCCGTTACTTTAAAAGCCTTTTGAAATCAGAGGATTCTTTTTGATCCACCCTATAATTTCAGAGCAGAAGCGTCGCCCCCTTTTCATGATATAAAAGAAAACACTTTCCATCTTTTAGATCATCAACGGGGGCTTCAGTTTTAACATTCGGAAGTTAAGTCCATCTTTTCTGTTGTCTGTGGTGCACAGAAAGCGTCTACCTCCACATTACCACATTGTTCTCAAATGTGATTGGTCAATAGTGGCACTTTATTCTACAGGTGGATTACAAACAGAAGCCAGGCCTCTCGTCCCCTCCCTGCAAACATCTTTTTATAGATGTTACAGACTAAATAATAAGAAGCTGCTCGCACCCTCTCTCATGCCTCTTTTGATCTGCTTTGCCTGCAGTGATGAGTCAGCTGTAGTTTGCAAGGTTAAAAATTTGGCATGTCAGGAATGTTTTTGTCTTTATTGTTGTCTTCCGATACCTCCCGTGCAGACTTGGCAGGTAACACCAAATAACTGAAAATCCGATGAAATCATTTGTAAAATAAATAGAAACTGAGCCCTTTCTTCACATTAAAGCCAAATTCCTACTGACCCCACCTGTGTGATGATTGCAACTGTGTGAGAAAGTTGTTTTTTTCTTATAATTAACTAAAACTAGATGTGCTTTCAGTTGTTTACTTGTGATATGACAATAAAGAGTTGATTCCAAAAATAAAAGGCCTGTTTCCTCTTCTTATCCAGGTGTACGAGTGTTTGCTTTTTTTATTTCCAAGTTCAGCTTTTGAGATAATTTTGAGATTTCTGCTTCACCTAAAAACAAACAATTGAGCTGAATGGAATCCGGATTTGTCAAAACAAAGACATTTTGCACGACTGAATTTCACCCAGATTCTTGTCTTTATCGCCTTCGACGATAAAGTTCAGTAAACTCAAACTGAATGCAGAAAGGCTGCCTTGTGCGTGCTTCTCATGAGTAAATATTATCACTGTATGTAGTAACTGCTGTATTTGTGACATGACCGTTTGTCCAGTTTGATCCAAACACCTGGAGTAATGTTTGGGGAAAAAGTTTGATAATGTACAAAAAGCTCGAGATTATAGTCTAAAACAGCTTTTTTACAGGTGGCTCAGATTCTCAGAATTTGAGAAATTTCTTTAACTCTTCAAACCCTTTTTCACTTTCATGTGTGAAATAATATTAGGAGACTCACATGACCCTTTTCATATCGGATGGTAAAACATAACTTCTGCTTCTTGTGTTCAGCTTTGTGCTGATAAACATAAAGTAGCTCGGGATATTAAAAATGTAGTTTATTGCTCAACTTTAACATCTACCTGCACCGCAGCTCAGCAGAAACCGACAGTCGCCTCAAGCCTCTTTATTTTGTAAGGTATACAGAAACTCCAACAATCAGATGACCCTCTATGACCAAGCACTTTACAAAACTGGGAAGGAAAAACTCCCTTTTAGTAGGAACTGGTCGGCCACGACCAGTTGGAGGGGAGGGGGAGGGGGAGGGACAAAGACGCGCTGTGGAAGAGAGCCAGAGATTAACAATAACTAATGATGCACTCAGCGCATCAGGGGAAGCCCCCAAAACCCTAGAGCTATCACAGCGCAACCAGGGAACATTCAGGGTCACCTGATCCATCCCTAATTAAGCTTTGACAAAAAGGTCTCCCGATTCCAAACTGGAAGCTGCTTCCACAGAAGACAGGCCTGAAAGCTGACGGCTCTGCCTCCCATTCTACTTGTAAATACCCTGTGAACCACAAGTAAACCAGCAGTCACAGAGCAACATTCATAAATGAATGCATGAACTAGTTTTGCAGCATCACTCAGACAGCTTCTAATTAGATATTGCGCAAACGCAAGAAAACAGAAAGTGCTACAAATGCGTTGAAGAACGTATCCTGGGCACGGTGACTCGATTCCTCAAAGTGCTATTGGAGGACAAGGTGAGGCCATCCAGAGCCAGGGGGCCAATTCTCCCTCTGTGGTGTTTGGCTTTTCTCGGGGAGCTCCGGTTTCTCACACTACTGAAAAACAAGATTAACGCCGCCTGCCTGAGACATTTGAGTGCCTCACTTCTTGATTAAACGAAAAAACAACAACAGACAGCAGCCTCTGTGAACCGTTTGACTCTCTGTACAAAGTCTCTCTGCCATCTTTAGCTTGAGCTGAGCTAAACTGAGTAGACGGGAGGGAAAACCGCTCTGTAAAAGAACAGCGTTACCTATTTTATCCTGATTATCTTGTTTCATAATCATTTAAACCCAAACTCTAAATCTCCCAGCTCCAACATAAATGAACAAAAAATAAATAAGTGATGCAGGGACAGCCGTCAGGTTTCAAATGTCTTTATATTTCAGTAAAATCTACTTTAATACACTTTGAAACAAGAGTACAACAAAATAGAATATACTTCAAATGTTGAATATACAAACAGTTCAGTCTGAACACAAACTTCTCTGTCTCTTCTTCTTCTTCCCTCTTTTCAGATTAAAATAAATGAAATGCAGGAGCCTCGTTTTAAGCTGGAAGTAAAGTGACCTGGGATCCACAGTGAGCCATCTTTGCATAAACTTGATTAATTTCTTTCTTGCTTCTACAGACATTCCTATTTTCAGATGTGGCAGCATGCATCGGCTCAGTCGCGTTTTTTTGCATGCAGCCTGACTGCAGGGTCACAAAAATGTTCCAAAATTAAAAGAAAAGGAGCAGCCAAGATCCTTTCTAGCCACATCCTCAGATGTGCTGTGAGCAGTCTGGCCTGTCAGATTCAACCTGTGTGAGCGTTAAAACAGCCAAATGGAGGCGGAAGAACCAGTAGAAAGAAAAATTAGTTTCCCTAGTTTCAATAATACTGTGCTTGGTACAAGGTATCAAAACACAAAGAAAACAAAACAACAGCTTAACGTTCAGACATCACATGAAGAAGAAAATTAAAATCTAAGGCTGTTCTGTTAACATTAGCTCCGTAAACTGTATAGCAGACATATTTATATTTATGTACATACATGACCGTGTTCCGTCTGATATCGCTCCTCGTGGGAACGCCTCTTCCTCTCACTCTCATAGCACCACCTACACTTGATCGGCACAGTGATATCATAATAATATTAATAAAAAAAACTAATTGCTGGTTTTAACGTTTGTCTCTACAAAAGCTGCATTACACCCCAGCCCCATCCTCCGGGTCCTCTTGAATGTGACGGTTCACATTTTGCTTTTTGATTATTTGCTTTCATTTGTGTTTGTAGTGTTTCGCTTTTTCCCCCAGATTTCAAGTCAGTGACGGTGAAAGATTTCCAAAGCATAAACTGTAGTGATCAAAAGTTGGTCCCTTTTCCCAACACATCCCTTTCCTTCCAGTCTGTTTTCCTATGTTGGAGAGGTTTCTGTGTGGCTCTGAGACAGTCCGGATTAGTTCTAGGCAGCAACATGGAAGATGTGAAGACGGGCTCAGGAAGAAAAGACACACACAAAAAAAAGGTGGGGGGACTTCTGGGCTTCTTTAAAGTCTCAGACTGCTGCTGGTTATTACGAAGAAAAGTAGAAATGACTTCAGAAATGTACAAACGAGCACGCTCTGGCAGAGGAGACACGGACGCATTTCAACACTCGGGCTCTTCTGTCTTCATCGCCACGTCGGCCGAGTCCATTGGCTCCGATTTGACGCTCTGGGCCATTTTTGGATTCGCCTGATTCTGCTGGATCGGCACCTGCACGGCCTGTACCTGGACGCCGGCGGCCTTCAGCTTCTCCATCGCTCCACCTCCTATGACCAGCTCTGAGCCATTGATGACACCGCTAATGATACGAGGCTGCGCCGCCACCGCCTGGTTGGCCGCAGACACCGTCACCACACCCGCCCCGCTGCCCGGCTGCGAAACCACCAGAGTCTGTTGCTGCGCCTGCGTCGGCACGGTGAGTCTCATCACTTGCGTTCCTGGCGCGACGTTGACGGGCGTGAGGGCGCGGACAGTCAGGGGGCTCCCGAGGAGGCTGATGCCCGCCGGCGAGGCCCCGACACCGGGCTTGTTTGTGCCCGTGGAGGTCTGGATCTGACACTGAGCCAGCTGGTGGGCTGGGATGGTGATGATCTTGGCAAGCTGGACAGTGATCTTGTCTCCATTCTCCGCAGTGGCTGGCACCATGGTGGGGATGGTCTGGATCACGACCTGATGAAAAGAAGCATCATCAGTTCATCTTTTCAGTGCTGCGCAGTGACTCAACTGTTTCATCACCAAAACAAACTTAATTACTCAGAGTTATAAACACATTTCTAAACTTGGTTTTGCACAATTTTCGATTTTGCACACCTTCTGCTGGGAGTTGGCGTTTCCGGCAGCGGCACCGATAGCCGAGGTGTTGGTGAGCAGAGTGGTTTGGCCGGCTGCTGCTGTTGTTCCCGCGGGCTGCTGCATGGCGACTGTGGAGATCTTCTGACCCAGTGATGTTGTCATGACTACTGGCACCTGCATAGCCACCCGGACCGTCCTGCAGGAGAGACAGAGTCAGAAGGGTAAAGATCCGCATGAGCAAAGACGCCACATAGTGAACATCTGCGTGCAGGGGCCTCACCTCGCCCCTGTGGCGTTCGGGATGATTGCCGCGTGGGACTGCTGTTTCTGGTTCCCGTCCGACGCCGCTGAGACCGTCACTATTCTTCCCGCCGTCACCGCTCCTCCTGCTGCTGGCTTGCTGCCTGTGGCCACTGGAGTGTGGACGACGTTGGTTTTGTTAGCGCCCCGCAAGATGTTGGGCTTCTTGGAGGATGACAGCTCGGTGGCGTGGAGCAGCATGTCTGACGGCGGAGGCACGCGCTCGTAGGACGCCGCTGTGTCCGAGCCGATCAGGTCCTCTGGAGCAGGAATCTCCGCCTTATCGTCGTCAATGATGACAATGTTTTTGGGCATCTCTTTGAACTGGTAAACCAGCCGCTGGCCCTCCACCTTGGCGAGGATGCCGCGCTGGTAGTAATATCTGAAGAAAAGGCATCAGAACATAAGATGCTGCTTTCAAAGAAAATAAAAATGAAATGTCAGCAGAGGACTGGAAATCAGCCTCTGTGAAGTCTAGCAAGGTAATCCTAAAAAGAGAGAGCTATTTTTGTTTATCAAACCTCTACTGTTGCCTTTATCGCTGCCAAATTTAAAGTGTTCATTGGATCATAAAGATGTAAAATACTTTGTTTCTTTCAAAAACGTAACACATCCGATTATAATCCCAGATAGGGACAGCCTACCTGAGTGCCCGCCCCATCGTCTCATAGTTCATGTCTGGTTTGTTCTTGTGCTTGCCCCACAGCTTGGACACGGCCTTTGAGTCAACCAGCTTGAAGATGCCCTTCTCCCTCTGGGTCCACTTTATGTATCTGGGACAGGTGTTTTTGTCCTGGAGGAGGTCCAGCAGGAATTCCCAAAGGTAGGTGGTGCTCCCTGCTGGAAATCAAAGATAATTAACATCTGTACTCAAAGCAGATGTTCTGTACTCAAAATGCTCCACAATTATTCTTCAAATGAGGAAACCGAACTTAAAAACATGAAACGTTGAGGTTTTCTCTGTAACATGACTCAGTCTTCACCTGGCTGTACAAAGCATTCTGAGGTGACTGCTGCTGAGAGTTAAGCACTGAGCACTGTATAAATAAAACTGAACCAAAGTCTAGTTCATGAAGGAGAAAAGCTGACTGAAAGGTCATATTAATGTTTAAAGCATGTTGACTGATTCATGAAATAAAAGTATGAGTTTCCGACAGCTGCAGGCACGGTGAATTTCTGTCTATGTTAACCAGAAAGCAGCATTTTTTGTGTGGAAGAGCTAAAATGGATACCTCGGATACCTTTTCCTTCTCTTGGTTTCTTCTTGATGCCGACGTCCGGTGAGCCGTTGGAAATGGCTGACTGATGCGTCTTCGGCTTCCGTCCAGCTGGGAAGGGAAACATTTGAAAGAAGTCAGTTGTGAGACCGAGGTGTGACCCCCTCCGTAGGATAAATTGACCACTAGATGGTGCTCTTGGATAAAGTCACTGAGCATAATTACAAGGTTCTGGTTTTGGATTTACAACTTGGCATCAGTGCTTCCAGATGTTTTGCATTTAAATCTTGGCTTGAAACACTGAATATTTTCCTTTTTCCCCAAAGTTTAACAAGCCCCCAGAAAGTTAAAGATATCAAATTAACATTTTGGGCTCTGGCTTCCTCCACATAACAGATAAGTTAACTTCCAGCTCTTTTAAGTCTACCTCGCTTCTTCCTGACTGGCTCGTGGTCAGGTTCTGGCTCCGGATCGTCCATAACCGTAGCCATATCCTCATCCTCCTCCTCACAACATTCCTCTGTTGATATCTCCACCTCGGACTCTGTGATCATGTCAGGCCGCATGGCAGCGTGGAGGAAGTCTTGTGTTGCTCCACTTTGTGGAAGGAACGTTTCTGCACAGAGGAATCATCACAGGGTTGATGAGGATCTACTAGACTGGCCAGCAGTTATGCTAACTGAGCATATAAACCTGAGCGGTGGTCCACTAACAGTGTATCTGTGTGTGTGTTACCTGGGCTGTGGTCTTCTTTGAGGCTGGAGGGCGAATCCATGCGTAGCAGAGCCTCTGCAGCCTCAATTGTTTTGTCAGAGCAGTGGACATTGGTGCCGTGAACAGAAGCCTCCACTGCAACACACAGAAGACACGAAAACAGTCAGCAAACACTCGCCTGGACTTTTAACAGTTAGTGTTTTTCTTCTTTATTAAGCATGAGATCGCATGAATCTAGAAAAGAAAAGACAGACTGAGTCAGACTCCTGCAGCATCTGAAGTGCTCTCAGATGATTCTTTTACATTTGAAGGAAAATATTAAGACATTTTTAATCTAAACAGATATGATAAGTTAATGAGTTTTAAATAACTGAGATTGCCTTCTAGCTTCCGTCTGCAGAGTGGAGAACAGCAGCAATCCTAAAGTGGGGGTTCTCCTGGACAAACAAACATCTGGCACCCCCTAAAGGAAACCACCAGTATTGCAATACAAGTATTTTGACATTCTGAGTTCATAATTTCACCAATTTTGCCTGAAATGCAGCTTCAAACCATGACAGAGCCTCCACTGTGTTCTACAGATGACTGTAGATACTGTTGTGCCTCACTCCTGACAGCTTCCATACACACTTATCATCATTTATGCTGATTTTTTCCCCCCCATGTTTCTTAACCACAGATCTTCAGATACTGTTCATCTGCTGCAGATAGTTTTTAGGCCTCATACATCTTTTTTTTCTCAGATTTTGCACATCACACATGCTAATTTCAGCTAAGAGCTCTTTGGGAATCGTCTTTTTGATGCAAAAATATAATTTTATGCCTGTCAAACTGTTCTATTTTACTCAGATTCGTTTAAAGAAATGTGGAAAATGATGTGTTTTTCCAACAGGTTGCTTGTAATAATGCGTGTAACGATGCAATTGAAAATTTGTTCTAAGTTGTTATGTGTTCATCCATTGGTTAGGGGACTTTTTTTATGCTTGCCTGATTCATAGTTCAGGGTTGAATACTTCGACAAAATGGTCAGGTACAAGTACTGGACTGAAAATAAGTAAAAAAGCAGCAAATGTCCAAATGTCCAAACAAAAACTTTGTAAGACCTTCATTAACCAACTACTGCTCAAACCACTGTAAGAATTCCCAAGTCTTGTAACCAACATGTAAAGAAATAACATGTGACTCAAGACTTATGCATAGTACTTGATTTCCAGTTCACTCCCTACCTGCTGGATCATTATGGTGTCACAGTACAGTACAATACAATGCTGCAATATAGTGACATCAAAAAGGTGTATTTCTATCTATATGCAAATGTGGACCATCTTAAGCTTGAACAGCACAAATTTTGCACTGTTTTACAATAATTAATGTGATTATTCAATGTTTTGTTTATGATATATAATTTAGTCATTTGGATGAACTACTGAAGGATACTAAGATCAGACATTATGAACTCAATGAACTCACACTGTCAGCACAAAGACCACATACAAAGTAGACACCCAAAAATGTTTTAATTTCAATTCTTTCACCCCTTTTATATATTTTTTTCTCCTCTTCATAGGTTTTTTTGGCATGTATGATTTCCCCTTTGAAATGTTTTTGTCTTATTCACTCTTCCCACATAAATTAAAACTAGAAACATTCGTCACTTACATTTACATTTAATTGTCACGTATATATTGTATTAAAACGTTTTGGCTTCCCATAATTAAGCAAAATTTTTTGTCTACACAATTTAGCATGAGCAGACAAAATACTTGTGTTGACTTATACGCAATTTCCCAATAATTATGGCTGTTTGTTAAGCAAAAACAGAAGCCTGGGTAAACTAAAACCTGCACACAGAATTTTTTTGTTTTGTTTTTAAATCTGGTGATTTTTCTTTAGTTGAAGATCTAAACCTCTCTGAGGACCAATTTTTTACATGAAGGAAAAACTCAATTTTCCTGCATATAAAGCCCAAACTCACTTCCTGCAAAGCTGGGTGTTTAATTCAATATGTTAACAATCAAACTATTGACCCACTCAGACGTGAGCAGCCCTCCTGTTTTATTCAAAAACAGGATACAGCCGCTGTCAGGGAAACTGTACGTGGACCTGTCTGAGGGAGCTCTGAGAAGGCACCCAGGAGCACCTGCTGTCGTTGTCAATCACCGGTGGGAAACACAAGATCCCATTACACCCTGCCCTATCCATGTTTGGCTATCTTGCTGAGGCAATGGGCACTGTGTCGAGGACAGAAATAGGCTATATTTAGGCTGTCCCACTCATTCACAAGCAAACAGGACACACTGCAGAGGTCCTGTGGCCTGCAGAGTCGCCCTTGAAAGTAAGCAGAGGTGCTGCAGTAAGGCCACCGAAAGGGTTGAGTTCAAACAGCTGCAGATGTGCCTGACCAACATGTCAAAATCTGAATTATCAGGGTTATAACTCATGCCTGATTATCCAATAAAAATTGCAAAATTGTTCAGTTTATTAGAATAATTATTTAAGTGTAAGCAAAATTACAATATATAAAGTTGGGAAAATCTCTCATTCACATTTACAGGTCGGTAACGGGGCCAAGAACAGCAGCAAGTCCGACAAAAAGTAGTGCTGCCCGTGATGACTTCCGTGTTTACACTCCTCACCCGTTCCCTCCAGTTCTCCTCGAAGAGGCACACAAATCCTCCTGTCACTCAACACTCGCTTTGCCTCCTATTGGCTGTCGCTCAGTTCAAGAGCCTGCCCCCAGACGCATCTGATTGGACTGCTGCTTACGTTCGGAAGCAGCGCGCGCACTACAGGACTAACGGACGAGTCAATCAAACACACGCCCCGCCCCCTCACATAAACAATGCTTCCGCCATCGAAATATTAGAAAAAAATACTTTGACATTAAAATTAAACAGAGGCGGAAACAAACGCGGCGTTTAAGCGATAAAAGCCCGTTATTCAAAATCAGGAAACACGCAGGTGAAGAGAGTTTGTAGCTGGAAAGCTGAAGCCAACAACAAACGGCTACAAGGAAGAAAGCGCGTGAGCCAGGCCGTCCCACGCGCCTGCACAGCGGCTCCACAGGACGGTAACGGAAACCGTGAAACAAACAAACACACACACCAAAACCCGAGACCCAGAGGGTGCCACCGTGAGCCGATCACACATTAATCCACAAACATGACACAGGACGGCGCCTCACTCCCCGGAGCTGCTAATCAAGGATCAGCCTGCAGATTATTCAGGCTAAACTGACCCGAAACCGAAGCCAGCCGCAGTCAAACACCAAAACAAACGACCATAAAAATGATCACAGGGAATATTTAACTGTGCACGCGTCGTTGATGCTGGTAAAAATAAACCCACATGTCCTTCCGACTCAGACAGCGTGGCAAAGACGTAGGAAAGACAACATCTCCACACTTCCTGGTTGTGCAGCCGAGCTGCAGACCGTTATTCTACACCACGCCGAGGGCAGAAAAAACTCCTCCCGCGTGCAAAACACCACTCATGCACGTAACTCTCCACATGTACACACCACCGCATCCAACTGAAGTTTCCCTCCTTATAAACCGGCTCCGATTAAACCGTGTGGCGACGCCATGCAGGTTGCTAACCAAGGTGATCACTTCCTGATTGCCCTCCATTACTTCACCGCACTTCTTCTCAGCGGACGGCGGCGCAGCGGACGCACTTAAAAACAACAACCGCGCGGCAGCTCAGATCTTAGCCGCGAGTGCGAAAAATTACGTTACCGGCTCTGATGAGTAGATCGAGTTGGTTTGCGTGCCCCTCATGCTGCGAAGTCGCCATGTTTTCCCCCTCGCTGCAGATTCACATTGACTCCTCACTGAATTGTATGGGAAGCTACTAGTTCAGATCACTCCGCCGCTAATGGGAAATCTCTTCGTATTGAACGCGACGCGTCACAGCGCCAGCAAAGGTACCCATCCGCCACCAACACAGGAAATCCTTCCGTCGACCTCCCCTTCTTGCGTAGTGAGCACGTCAAATAAAAGCTGCACCGTTTTTTAAAATAAGCTCACCGTTTTCACATCGCTGAAGCAAACTGACACGGATTTTTACTGTGAGTCTCTTAAAAAAAGCATGTCAGTATAAGACCCAGCACTTAAAAAAATGCTTTAAAGGTCTAATAAAATACAATTAAATAAGTCTTATTTTGGTGACCAGTAAAGTTCTGCTACTGATATATGTTTATATAAATATTTAAGCAACGTTTCTCATGTATCTTACATGAGATACATGAGGGGGATGGGGGGTGTCAAGATCTCTGTCTAAATAAATAAATAAATAAATCTGGGTT